ATGAAAAATCATTTGAAAAGTTTCAAAGGATAAAATGAAAATAGAACTTAGATTTTCCTGGTTTCCTTTTCGATTCCATTGCACTTATTGTTATCATCCCAAAGATCAAAGTGGTTGTTTTCACCATTTCCTTCTGCCACTTTGACATTGCATTTGCCTTTAAATACTTTAAGCACTGCCACGATCTTTATGGGCAACTCTAAATCATCGATATTTTTCTTTTACAACCCCGATCAGCCGAAATAAAAAGGCAACCAATCAAATATAACCAGAATTTTTCCCATTAGTGGATAGGGATGGCAATGGGGTGGTGCGGGGCGGGTTGAGCTTAACCCATAAAATTTCCACTATTGACTCTACACGCTTCTTAAAAAACTATAAATAGAAGGATGATTTTGCTATATCATCATTAAAATATAATAAATACAATGTCTTGAAAAATGTAATAGAGAAATGACTATAATTAATACTAAGGGTAAATTAGGAACTAAGTGTGAAACTATCCATTGATTTCATAAAGTGGACAAGGAAAGTGAACAAGTATTGTTGGACATCCCAAATAGTATAGTGGACAACCATTATTGAACAGAGGAAGCTGTATTCACTATATTTTCTTACTGTCCGGGATTTGTTGCGCTTAGTGTCTAGGGTCTTTCAAAAAACAACTTCTCTATCTCTACGTGGTAATGATAAGATCTAATGTAGTACATTTCACCCTCTTTAGACCTTATAAAATTTTCCTAAGTATATTATTGTCGTAGAATATTACATAAAATATGTTATGCTGATATTCTCTAATTATTTCGATGTGAAAAACAGTCTATTTTCTTGAACATATAATTAATGGGACCAGTTTTAACTTGAGTAAGGAAAATAGGAAAACGTGCAGTTAAATTATGATTTTGTCATAAAGTGAATGTTTAATGGGTGATGTCTATGATTACTGAATCTAATTAAGTACTCTTTCAAATGTATGAACTTATAAATCCATAGCAGTAAATTGGACAAACAAATAAAAAGTAAAGAACAAACATCTTTGGAGAATCTCTTATTTATTTTTTAGTATTTTTTTTTGTTTCTTTTACTACATGAGCCACAACAAATTAAAAAAAACTAGCAAAACATTTGAATATGTGACATAACAAAAATTAGATGCAAAAGAAAATTAAGGATTATGAATATTTTGTTATTGTTTATTGGGCAACAGCTTTGGGGGTCTCTTCAACCTCCTTTTTCTCCTCTTCTGGCTTTTCCTTCACAGCCTCAACTTTGACTTCCTCAGCCTTCTCCTCCTCCTTTGCCGGCTTCACCTCCTCCGTGGCTGCGGCAGCGGTTACTTCCTCAATCTTGGGAGCCTCTGGTGCTGGTTCTGACGCATCTACCAATGGCTCTTCCTTTTTAGTCTCCTCCCCATCCTTCTTCTCCTGAGATAAACGAAGGTTTCGTAAGGGAACTGAAACATATTACATTCATAATGTAATAAAAGTGTACGTCTCAATCCTAAATAAATTGTATTAAACATATGAATTTGGACCCTAATTGAGCAATGGTATGTATTTTTTATTGACACACACTATAATATGACGCTTTCAATTATGGACACTAGTTCTTGTGTTAAAAGTAACGTCGAATTTAGCTCTTGAAAACCAACAAATTTCTAGTTTCAAAATATAACTAGTCTCTTGAGTTTAGTGGATCCATTAATTTCTCTACCCATTATGCTCTATTCGATTCAATTTCATTTCAATACAATTAAGTGCAAAATAACACAATTAAACACAACCTCATTCAATGTTCCATTTTATTTTATGTTTTTGTGAAATTCAATCATGGTTATCATATACGATAAGTGAAAGTGACATGATAGTGTGAAAATTCATACATACCTCAGGAGCAGGGGCCTCCTGCTCGGTCTTTTTGGGGGTGGCAGGCTCCTCAGCAGGAATAGGGGCGAACTCTTTATCCAAATCCTTAGGTCTGCTCGCACAGGCTCCCATGACTACTGTCTGAGATTTAGCGAGCTAAGAGGAGATGGACAAGAAAATTTGATTGAGAAAATTATTAAAGAGAGGCTTGTTTTTTATTTAATTTTTTTATTTTATGATTGAAGTTAAAGAAATGAAGAGGTTTTTATAGAAAAAAATTGGAAGGATGTCCTAATTTATTGGTGTATCGTAGAAACATGCGCACCCTGTTTGTGGACAATTTGTAAAGAAATGAAAGTGGGAGGCCTCGATTTTGTATAGTTCGTTACAAATATATGCGTTGAATAGTATTTCATTGTAACATGACGGAGAAAGCTGAGATGGCAATAATTAAGTGGCAGATATCGATCAAAGTTATAACAACTTTCTTGTTTCATCTTTATAATATGATAAATACGATGTCCATATCTGTTTTTTCGAAAAAAAATAATTGCCACTTCATTTTCTGTATGGACATGGACGGTGCCCATATCTTATTGGATATTACTCTATGTTTTTAAAATAGTACTCCCTCGACTAATTAATGCAGCAAAGATTAAACATGCATACATCATAACAATATATTCAGTAAAATTACATAAGTGGAGTCTGGAGAGGGTATAATGTATTAATTGCACGTATATTATATCACTATCTCGTGGAGATAGAGAGATTATTTTCGATAGATCCTCAGCTCAAATTATGACAAAAATATTGCGATAATTGAAATATCAAAACAAAAACTACAATAATACTAGTATGAAGAGAATGACAAATACTAAACATGCATATGTACACTAAGAAGGAAAAATAAACTATTGAAATATATATGACATAATTTCATGAGATTTTTGAATTTTATCTTCTTATTATACACTCATATACACCACTCCATATTATTTGTATATATGACTGTCAAATATTTCTCATTGAAAGTACAAATTAAAATATTTTCAAATTTAGAAACTTATCATTTTTTTTTAAAACGGACTAAATAAATTTTTCACACTTAAACTGAAATGGAGGAAGTAACTAATGGCCGGGAGCAGATCGATTAAACAATTCTCAGTTGCGGTCATTCAATGTACAATCATCCAATCATGCTGTTGACACACAACAAATATTGACGTTTGATGAGAAAAATGCAACATCTCCAAATGCACTCCAAAATCAAACATTAATTAATCTCTCCATTTGCCTAGGCTGTTTTTTGTTCATAAATGTGAAATTAAACGTATACCTAAAAAAAATGTTATGTAAATATGGAAATGCCTTCTAGACATTGTGGATACCAAGGCCAGTATTGGACTGACAAGAGCTATTGAGCAAAGAGTACGTAATTAGGATCTTGTTAATTGAATTCAAATTGAGTCGTGGGAGTGAGAACAGTTTCATCAAAAGAGATAATAGCATGTGATTCAAGGATATGTGTATTGTGTATTGTGGATAAAAAAAATGATTTCTTTGATCTCTATTCTCATAACTAAACTTCTCGTCATCATTTCAAACTTTATCCTTAATTGTGAAAAAAGTTAAAAGATGATTTTTTTGAATAATATAGATTTCTCTGGAATGCCCTAGTGTAGAAAACATAGAGAATTATCTTGAAGAAATTAAATATCTAGATATTCTAGAGTAGTTGCTAAAAGATACACTAGAACTTTCTTGTATATGTATGTAAGAAATGTGTAGATATTCTAGAGAGTTAGATATTTGTAGTAAATCATAGAATAGTCTAGATCTTGTAATATTTGGAGTCATTCCCACACAAGTATAAATAAGGGTCGTCTTAGTCATTTGTAAGCCAACAAAAAATTTGAAAGCAATTCAAGAGTATTCTTCCATAACAACGTTCTCCTTTCTAAATATATTCTTGCTTTTCTTTTCTAACTTCCTCTTCTTTAGTTGAAACTTGAAATTAACATTTCACATATCTCTTTTTTCTCCTATTAATCAACTTCATTGTCCTTCATGGAAATTTCCTTTATGTAGAGTGTAGATTCAAAATATTTCTTAATACATTTTGTAATTTGTATTATTGCTATATAGTATTGAAAAATGTACTTTAACTAGACAATTTTGTTTTAATTCATATTCTATCTTTATTTTCATGTCATTTTTACATATTCAAAAGGTTTACTTATTTTTAAAATAATTATGCTGCAGTTATTTTTAAAACAAAAGGTTATAATTTTGAATCCGTAATTTATATGTGATATAAATATCTCAAAAAATTGAAAATCACATGAAAATGTTCATTCAAAGAGGGTTTTATAAAGTGGAGAAGAAAGAGAAAAGAAATTAAGAAAAAGGAAATAAAAATTAAAAAAATCTATTTTTTGAAATTTTATGCGCTCATTTGAAGTGAAAATTACAAAATTGTTGAAATTATACAATTCGACCTTACTTTTGGTATTTAAATTGTACAAAATATAATTGAGATGTCTAAATAATAAATCATGCTAACTTTCAAAAAATTGCCATAATTAAAATATAAAAGAATAATATATAGCATAAAAAAATAACCCAGCCTGGTCAACCCTGTCAATGGCTATTTCCAAATATTTGTCTCATCAAATAAAAGAAAGCTAAAGTAGCAAATCTGCCGTTAGAAAATAAACCAATAAAAAAAAAGGAAAAACAAATTAGAAGAATATTAACTTTAGGTGGGTTAGGTCCATTCTCAAAATAACCCAATACTTTGACTCGCTCGATTTATTTTTATTTATTAGGTTTCGCTTATTATAAAATGTGTTCAATTTAAAATATAGTTTTATCATATTTTAATATGAAAATAATTGTAAACTTGGAATACTTTATTATCGCATTAATCTAATTTTACAAATTAATTAAATTGACTATTTTTGGTGAATAGAAAATGTGACAAAAAAAATGAACAAAACGAGTAATTAAAAATGACCTCTAACTTTTGTTGGTAGGTCAACAGTACAGGTGGGATACAAACCAATAGTGTGTCTACAATTTCAACCGCTAGAGACTTCGAATTTGACGGAGTCATAACAATAAAGGAAAAATTTACCTTTCGTTTTCTCTTCCAAAAAATAAAAATACTTTCCTTTGATCATCGGAAATCCCCAAAATTTCAATTCTCGGGTTTTCGATTTCTTCAATTAGGTTTTCTGTTATAAGAGAAAGGCGAGCTTTTCTTCTCTATTCTAAGAAAGGCTCGCCGGAAAAAAATTTAATCAAATATAGCAACCATGGAATTTCTTAGAATTTCTGCTTTTCAACCTATAGTCGTGTTCCTGCTCATCTCCGTCGTCTACTTCCCGGTCACCGTCCGTTCAGATGAAATCATCCCGCTTCTTTTGCCTTCCGAACAAGTGAATCAAGACATTTGCCCTACGACGCCGTCTCCGTCGGAATCCTGCACTATTAATTGCTTCCGACCCGACCCGGTCTGCGGCGTTAACGGTGTGACGTACTGGTGTGGTTGCCCAGACGCACATTGTGCTGGTGTGCGTGTTGTGAAATCAGGGATCTGCGAGGTGGGAAACGGAGGTTCTGCTCCGGTTACGGGTCAAGCGCTATTGTTGATTCACATTGTTTGGCTTGTGTTACTTGGTTTCGTCGGGCTGTTTGGGCTGCTATGATCGATCAGGTTTCGTTGATTGCTTGATTTAGGGTTAGACTTGATAGGATGATTTTTTGTATAACATACCTGTATCTTCTGTATGTATGAGGGGAATATACGGCTTAGATGATTTCAACTTTGTTCTTGTTTTTTTGTTGGTTTTATACAATTTTAGGAGATTTAGATATATCTTATCATTGTCTCTTTGATTATTGAAATTTCCGGCCCAATTGCCTTAATAGTCCTGCGATAATTCTTTTACAGTGCCTGAAATGAATGTGTGATGTATAAAAGAGATGAAATTGGTCCCAACAGAGAACAAAGATTTAGAGGATTTATATAACTGAGCCCCAGTGGTATAGGGAAAGGAAGAGGATTCTCAATATGTGAAAAATTTGATGAGGAGAGAGATGAGTTGATTCTTGAGGCTATAAGATTGTCGTCTTCATTTCTTCAGTAGCTTTACATCTCCTTTTAAGTTCTTATGGCTGATAGGTGTGTTTGGACTTTAACCTTTGAGGAAAGTATGGGATATTGGCTTGCTAGGTTTCTGAAGAACCTGCCTGCCTTTATGCACCGGAATTTTCTATTGTTTTGGATCTGTTTGATGTATGAGGTCAAACTGTAGTCTAATGTTTGGCTAGGGAAATGTTCAAACCAAATACTTTTGTGACATTTAGCAAGCTACTTATGTTATCCAGATCTCTGGAAAATGATGAATGTCTGTTTGGAACAAAGCATTGAACCCAAATTGGAGGTATATTTGCTGTTTCGTTTAATATTACATTCACATGTCTGTTATTCATGATTTACTCTGCCCTTGATGCCATTTTCGTTCTGTGTCTAATTGGGCGGACTTATTGTTACTTGTAGCGATAGTTGGCAACAAAGAACAAAGTGACCATTTTCATGAGCCCAATACTTCCTCACCCCCTAGGCTACTCCTTATTCTCCTCCTCCCCTTGGTTTTTATCCCCTTTTCTCTCCCCAACCCGTCCTCAACCTCCAACTGCCAACTTTACCATAACAGCTGCTAGAATAATCCTTTACTCATATCCAACCTTCCCTTTGTCCTTATAGCAACTCTTTGGATGATCCCTTATCTCAGCCTTCCTTCTGGCCTTGTACCTTCTCCTTCCTCTCCATTTTGATCATAATGATTTGGGTAGATTTTTTGACATTCATCCTGGTGCATACTGGTCTTAGGAGTGAGTCCAAAACTCTACTTCCACTCCAATTGTGATCTCATTTCACTCCTAACATTTTCTTTGAAGTTTATAACAACTACGTGGTGTCAAGATTATAATCAGGCATCTGAATGGGAGGATTATAGATAGTCAAGCAAATTCATTATGCTTGTGTTTTTGGTTCTGGGAAGGGTGCGTCAAAGACTTGAAAGGAGTTAGGAATCGGGTTATGATTTTCAGTATTTCCACTGGCTGTTTTTCTTTTTCTTTTTGGAAGAGCAGTGCATCTTACTTTTGGTTGCTAATATTTCCTAGTTTATCTCAGTTCTAATAAGTAGGTAATATGCTTGATAAAGCGATTCAACTTCTCGTAGGAAATTACACCCATTGACCTTGAAACCCCAGCTTGCCCATTGGCAAACCTTCAAGGTCAAAAGTTCAAAGTGTTAACCATGAGGCAGACCTTATCAAAGTTTATGTTTAGGGCAAGGGGGATCAAAACACATGGTCATTCTGTAAATCAATCTCGTGGGATTAATAACATGATTCTTTTTCACCATACAGATTAGTTTGAAGGTCAATTTTCCCTCTACTCTAGTAGTAGTAAGTAGGTTACCATCAAATATAATCTTTCTTGAATACCTGCTTTTTGATGGATATCAACTCGCAAGTCATTTGAAAAGCATGAGTTCTTTAACAAAAAGATGCTCGTCTCATGGTATTATATTTATTCAAAAAAGATGAGTTCATCTCCTGGAGCACAAAACAAGTTATTGAACAATGAAATTTTACTGTCGTTAGTTTGAGTCTCCACAAGAACGTATGTAAAAACAGCATATAAAAGTGGCGACTGAAAAGTACATGTTTCCCACACGCTTTGAAGTTCTCAAAAACAATAAACCTCTGGAAATGCTTCATCCTTCAAAATTTGAAGGAGAGTCAATCAAGTATAATGCCCCCTAACTACCACTTTTTCCATTTCAATTTTTTACCATTTTTCTACTTTCCAAGAAGCCTCATCCGGAACTCAGCAGCCATCCTCAGAAAAAAAGAGTTTATCACCAAAATGATGCATGCAAGTCACAGCTCTATGCCAAAAGAATAGGCACTCTTTATCATTGCCAAATTATCTACTCAGGAATTCGATGCATGTAAGGCTAGTTACTCCACAAAGCTAAGAAAATTCAGTCATCCTTTTTGTGGCTTTGCAGCGAGAAAATGGGATCACTCAGATGATCATCAGCAGCAGAATTTGCAGTAAGAGAGCTGTCATCACCGCTTACTGCAGATGAATCACTCTGCCTGGTGTTTTTGGTCAACTTGGATTGAGAGGTCACAGGAAGCTGAGTGCCAAGATTCTTGCCCACTACGTTTTTATATACGGCAAGAGCTTGAGACATCATGCTAGCAGGATCAGAAGCATTTGTAGGAAGCAATAGTGTTGTGCCCTTCAAAATTGATACAAGCAAACGGAAAAAATAACAAAGTTAGCAAACAACTTACACATGACAGCTGACACAAATATAATGTAACAATTGTGCTTCACCTCCTTTGCAATATTACTGAAGGCTTGGATATACTGCTCTGCAATCCTCAAACTTGCTGCCTACAAACCAAATATTGAAAGTTGTAAGTGTGACAGAATGGCGAAGGTACAATCAAGTGAGATATTGACAATCCAATGGAAGAAAACTTTGCCATAAGCTGGCGCATTACAAGTGTGGGAAGCAGCCCGCTATTCCACTTCCATACGTGCCAGAAGAAGGGCAGGGAGGAAGAAGAAAGAAAAGACAAAAATCAGAGCCATATCAGGACCAGCACTAGTGGTGTTTCAAGAATCTCACCTCTGCACCACCATGCTCTTTAAGGGTTTCTGACACCATTGCAATTCCTTTTGCTGTAGCTTGTGCCCTGGCGAGGATTGCTTCTGCTTCACCTGATTCATTCAACAGGCAGAGAAAATGAATGAGGAGGAACCAGTGAAGCTGAGATTAGCCCCAAAAAATAAAAGGTCACTATAAATGGACTAGTTAAATGTTTTATGTAACTTGAAACACCTTGAGACTATATATTTTCTATCAGGCACCTCGGCACCACCAAATACAATAATGGACCATGATGAACATCATTTGTCGCCTTTAAGACCAGAGAGAACACACATGCACATACGCTAATCAATCCATTAAACCTTATCCAACAGTCACAACTCGCAATGGTAGGTGAAAAGTATGTTCTCAACAAAACTTCTAGTTTTTCTTTTGAAAATTTCACTGGCTAAACAGCTCTACTCTTCTTTTTTTCGACCGTGATAAAGGGAAGTTGAGTCTCACCAAAGTGCATGGAAAAAGAGACTTTCTAAGTAAACAAACCTAGCGCTCTATTGACTTGGTCCATTTTTGCAGCTTCTGAGGCAAGGATCACTGAACTCTTCCTTCCGTCCGCAATATTAATATTTGCCTGCCTTTCTCCTGTTATAGTGTCAAAAAAATATCATCATTAAAAAGGAAAAAGAAAAACCTGCATGACAGATTGAAATACTAGAAATTCTAGAAAGGAAGTAAAGTGTGATTTTACATTGGCATGGTAATCATTTAGTTACTAAGTTATCAGCCTAAGGAGACTATGTATCTAGTAAGAACAGATCGACTCTTTATGTTGATGGAAAAGTTTTTCGATAGATCTACTTGCAAATGTAAAATAAGCTGGTCTGTCCCTGATATCATAATAAGGTATGCCCAGAGGATTTTTATTAAGGGGTGTCAAAATATAAAGTAAAAAAGTAAATGGTGCTATCAAGGATGGAACACACAACCTCAAAACAACTTTTGCAACCCCTTAACCACTACACTATACCTTCAACTTATGACAAGATGTGTCAACACTTGTATATATATTCATTAAATATAATTTTGACCTATATATACAATGTAATTTTTTGACGAAGGGGTGTCGCTTGACATCCCTTGCCTTAGGGTTGCTCCTCCCCTGGGTATGCCTCCTCTACCGCAAAGGCAGACCTACCAATCAGAATTCTAACACAAATACTGCATTGCAAACTAACCATCAGGAAGAGGTTCAATTACCTTCTGACTCCAAAACTTGCGCCCTTTTTTTACGTTCTGCTTCAGCCTGCATCTCCATAGCAGCTCTAACTCCGCGAGGAGGAGATATATCCCCTGAAAAGAGAAGGATAGCAGACATACTCAGCAATATAAAGTCAGACATTTTCTACAATGATGGAAAAATCGGCAGACTAACCCACATACTTATTTCATATCGAAGACATTTCAACCCCCAATCTTTTGCAGCTTCGTTAATAGCCATCTACAATAAAAGCGCACATCAGAGGGATCAAGCTCAAGCATCGAAGGTACAGAACTAAAAGGAAACCACTGGGATGCTTCCTAAATCAACACTCAAAAGTATTGCACATCATTGTAGGTAAAATTTGACAGTGCAGGGATCAGATGAGCATATCATTAACTCACACCTAAATAAGCTGATGTACTAATACAGATCAATCACTAACGTCAATATGGCCATATAAGAATGCAGAAATTACTTGATGGTTACTCTAGAAACACCACCTAAATAAACCATATGCAATAGGTACAGAACTTGATGATGATAATGATCATTCAACAAGCGACTCCGGATTCATGTGCAGATTGATAGTGAAGTGAAGTTGAAGAAAACAGTATTTTGATGGTGAGGACAAAACATTAAAAAAGCACATAGAGATACTTAAATTATGTTATCAAGTACACAATTAATTTCACCAGAATCATCATAGAACCTTGGACCAGTAGTAGTTTCTCTTTTAACTTTGAGTTCCATTCCAGAGGTTCTATCTGATTTCATGATACAGCAAATAACTTCTCAAATGTGGCTTTTATGGCTAAAAACAATTGAAACTGCTTCTTCAAAGTTCAAACCAATGTTTTGTTTTTACCCTCCTTTACTTTCCATGAAATATCATTTCTTATTCTCTGAGATTTATTAAGCATATAAATTCTTCATTATTTTGATAAAATTTCCATCTAAAAGTGTCACGAGACTCTTGCTTTTTAAAGTTGCAGTTACACTCATCCTTCACAAATGTGCCAGATGAAAATGTACTCAATATTATCAATTCAGCAGAAAAGTAGACTGAAGAAGCTCATATAGCATGCAATTCACAGAAAAGAATCAGTGTAGTTGGATATTGGCACTCTCATCATGGATGGAGTCATAACTCTTACCAA